CGTCAGGCGAATAAACATATTGTCCCAGCGATCGAGTCTTCTTCTTTTCAATGTCTTCTCTGTATTTGCATGCACGAGGCCCTTAAAATTTGGACACGAGCGTGTCTCGACCGTCACTGTTTGGCTCCCAGTGGCAATTTCTCCGACTTGGATGCGGCGGTCAGTCACCTCCCCTCTAAGTAGGCACTCTGCCTCTGTCCAGCAGCTGTTTCTATTTCTTAACCTCTCTATCAATCATTTCACCTAGTGAACAAAAGCTGTCATTTTTACTGCTGTAAAATCTCCGTCTGCGTTTCCGTTGCAAGACATGTAAACATACTGGTTAGCGGAGTAACAGAAAGCCAGCTTTCCATTCGTTTCCGATCCCCAACAATCCCCGATTGATGTTGCACAACAAAAGACTCAAACAAAATACATCATTGCCATTTTATTCCAATTCGCTTTGAAGGAACTTGTTCACGCTCTGATAATATATAACAATTTTATTAACACAATATACTTCTTGGCACAGAGTTCAAGCAAGTACCAGTCAACTTGATCTTAGAACATGTAAAACCGGTAAGAAAACAAAGTTAATAAGAAAAGGAATACCAAATGCCTTCTGATCGCTGTTGTTAGCTAAGTTATTGCCCTCGCAGCTTCCAATGTTGGACGTAAAATATCGACCTTGAAGTGGTAATATAGGCCATTATACATCAGCTCTCTCTGCAAAACTGCGTATTCAATATGTCGATAGGTATCATTTTGCCAATTTGCAAGAGCGTGACTCAGCCTCAAATCTCTTAATAAAAAAAAAACAAAAAAGAATTACATGTCTACTTTGATCATATCTTCAGCAATATGAAGCGTTATTTTTGTGAAACACAATATAATGGAAGATGTTCCGTACTTCTTTGGGTTTTCTTCGTTTCCCGTATCCCTCTTATGCATTATCATCTTGTACCGAGAAAACGTAAAGTTGCGTCTCATTAGCTTTTGTTTGGAGAAGTTGAGTCGCGCAGACATGTCATCGTCTTCGGCGCCCCATCCAAAGTAGGTATTTGGGTATCCCAGGGCTTTCTGGAATTGCGTTCGCGTCATCGCTACTCCCCCACCAAATATGTCCTCGTAGAACATTCTAGGTTAAGTTGGATAACAGTTTCTCAAAATAATGACAAAAGGGGAATGGCGAGAAATCAAACGGCAAGGAGTAACTAGGTGTAGGGAACTCGAAAAAAACAACGAGCAAAATCACTTGTAAAATGTAACTGGGTGGAGGGAGTTGGAATAGCAACCATTAAGTAATATTAACCACAAAAAGGGAGGAAAAGTAAACACGGTTTGGAAGAAGGCGCATTTGCCAGGAAAGGTTTACTGTGTGCATCTGTGTTTGGCTCGCATCAACAAGTCACATGCCTCGCTGTAACTGCTTCCCCCGTTATCCGC